GCTGCCATGCAGTCTTTGCATGTGTTCCTTTGTTGATTGATGTGTTTGCTTTGTTGCTTCGGCTTCGAAGGTATTCGCCAAGCCTGCTGCTCGTCGTCGCCTACTTGGTGCTGTCGAGTTCGTCATACCCCAACCACCGGCGAGTGGAGGGCTGCTTTCCCTGTGACTGCAAGCAGGTCGGTGGTATCAAGCAGCTTTCACACTGCCACGTGGCTGGTGCTCTCCACATCAAGGATGTGTACCTCAATGACCAGAACATCAGCAGTATTGCGCCGCATGCATTCAGGTTTTTGCCCGGATTGCAGCGTCTCTCCCTCTCCGGAAATCCGCTGCAGGTCCTGCCCGCCAAGCTCTTTGCTCCCCTGAAGGACTTGGAGCTTTTGGATCTCAGTCGCGCGGACTTGCGTCACGTGTCGGCTAAATCGTTTGCAGGCCTGTCAGCCTTGAAGGTCCTGTCACTGAGCGGAAATGAACTGAAGCATCTGCCAGAAGGCCTGCTGTATCCCATGCCTTCCTTGGAGAAGTTGTTGCTGGGAGACACAGGAGGAGTAGCAGGACTCGAGGCTATACCGAAGGTTGTTGCTGGGAATGAGCTGCTGTCACTGCCACCTGACGTCTTCAAGCGGAGCCTCCGACTCAGGGTCCTGGATCTTAGCGACAACCGCCTGGCGACACTTCCCGAAGGTCTGTTTTCGATGAACGGAATGCTGGAGAGCCTTGACCTGGCACGCAACCGCCTCACAGACCTTCCGGTGGACATCTTCAAGGGCCTCTCCAGGCTGCAAAAGCTTGAGTTGTTGAAGAACAAACTTAGCAAAGTGCCACTTGGGCTCTTCTCCGACCTCGGACACTTGGAGATGCTTGACATGAGGTACAACCAAGTCAGGGAACTTGCTGCCGGAGCCTTCACCGGCCTCGCGAGTTTGAAGCGTCTTGACATGCAGTGCAATCCTCTCAGAGAGCTTCCCGTCGGCTCTTTTGCCGGACTGCCCAACTTGGAATGTCTGGTCCTAAGTCAAGGCTCGCCTATTGCGCTGGCGGTAGGACTCTTTGCCGGCCTGCCCAACTTGAAGGCACTGATGCTGACAGGCAAATCGATTAGCGAGCTGTCGGCGGGAATCTTTGCAGGCTTGGGGCATTTGGAGGCGCTTCACCTGTCGCGAAACCCTCTTGGCAAGCTACCGGTCGGAATTTTTGATGGCCTGGGCAGGTTGGAGCAACTCTACCTGTCGAACACTTCCCTCACCGAACTTAGTCCGTCAAGCCTTGCGGGCCTCAGCAACTTGAAGCATCTCGTTCTGAGCAAGAACTTGCTCACCGAAGTGCCAGTGGAGGCTCTCACAGGCTTGCCCAGCTTGACAGGGTTGGAGCTTGGGGACAATTCGATCAGCAAGCTGCCCGTGGGAGTCTTCACCGGCATGGGGCATTTGGAGTCGCTGAGTCTGGATCGCAACCCGCTCAGCAAGCTTCCCTCCGGAGTCTTTGCTGGCCTGGGGAGGCTAAAGAGTCTCAGACTGGCGCAGACCTCCCTCAGCGAACTCAATCCATCACACTTCCTCAATCTGGGCAATTTGCAGACACTATCTCTGCGCAAGAACTCGTTCGCTGAACTGCCAGTAGGAGTTCTTGCAAGCCTCCCGAGCTTGAGAAAGTTGGACCTGGCTTACAACCGGATCAGCGAGCTGCCTATTGGAGGTTTCGCCGCCCTTTCCAACTTGACTGTGCTGAACCTCATGCACAACTTGCTGCGCGAGCTGCCAGTGGGAGCTTTTGCAGGCTTGGGGCATCTGCAGAGCCTCTATTTGCAGCAGAATCCGCTTCGCCAGCTTCCTGATGAAGCCTTCGCCGGCCTCAACTGCATAGACGTGCTGCTGCTGTACGGGACCTACGCAGATGAGCCGGCCATCTGCTCCCGGCCCACAGTCCACTGCAGCAAAGCCCGTTTCCCTCGATTCCCCAATCTTCCTTCGAAGTGTGCTCTCCGGGACGAAATGTGGGAAGGGTGTCATGTTATGCTTTCGGGCTTGCGGAAAGCTTAGTTGCAAACGCTTGCCTGTGTCGCCTGGGCACAGCAGTGCAGGCAGGGGGTTTTCAGGAAGAGGTTCAAGGGGTCCAGAATGTGTTGGGGGGTCCCAAGAAAGGGTCCCAAGGGAGGGGGGCCGGGGGGGGGGGGGGGGGGTCCAGGCAAGGCCGGGGGTTCCAGACAGTCCCCAGCGCAGCGTCCAACATTTTTGAAGCGATCTGGGCGGGATTCTCAGTGAGAGGGGAGAACTGACAATCAAGGTCGTCGTAGCCCTCAACCCTCAACCCTAAACCCTAAACCCTAAACTCAGGGCCTGGGCCACCCCCCCCTGGGAGCCTTCTGCCCCTGCGGAACCTCCCCTCAGAATGAGAGAGAGACTTGTTTGGCCTATGACCACCTCAACGCCCTGACACGAGACCCCCGAATTGGAAGGAGTTTAGTTTTTTGAGGCGGCCTGTTGACTTGAGTTTAGGCCTAAACCTTAAAAGGAATAGGTTTGGGTGGTTTTGCCGATAGAAAGGTTGCCCTTCTCCACGGTTCCCTAAACCCTAAACCCCAGACACTACCCTAAACCCTAAACCCTGAACCTTAAATCCTAAATCCTAAGCCCTCCCTCCCCCACCTTCCAGTCTTCCCCGCCTCTTCCCCCCTTACCCCCCCTCTTCCGTGCCCCCCTGGGGGCCCGTTGAGGCGCTGAGGCGTGAGAAGTTCTCAACCTCGGATCTCAGTGTGCCTTTCTCCAGCGGGTCCTTGGGAGTTGTGGGGAGAGGCCCCTAAACCCTAAACCCTAAACCCTAAACCCTAAACCCTAAACCCTAAACCCTAAACCCTAAACCTTAAACCCTAAACCCTAAACCCTAAACCCTAAACCCTAAGTTGCAAAGCGAAGGCCCCGGCAAGATCCTCAAGCCCAGAGCACATCAACACCAGAGGAGTGTGTTAGGGTCGCAGAGCCGTGGCCACATTTGGCCATCAAAGCCTGTTGCGGGTTTTTTGTCTGCCTCGTGTTGCCATGGGATGGGTTTGGGGTATGTTGAATGATTGAATGATTCTTCGCTACATGCTTTAAGTTCAAGGTTCTTGGTGCAAGATACATCTTGCCGGTACCCTGTGCAGCAAAATGTACCGTTGGGCTTACCTCGTACTTCTTTCACAAGTACATAGCTTCTTGAGGGTAGAGCCCGTGGCGGGTTGAGCATCTCCTAAATCCTTGCGCAGAAACTGACTGCCATAGACCATGGCAAGCGACCTCACTTGACGCCATGTCCCTGGCAGTGGATGTCCCTGGTTTTGGATGGCTCAGTCTTCCGTGGGACGTCGGCCTCACCGCCGATGGCGCGATTCGCCTGGCCCAGAGCCGGCTGTGTGAACCCTGGCACGGAAGGAAGCTCCTCTCAAGTGGGCCGCAGCAGCTGGGGTCCGAGGAAGTCATCACCCAGCAGACAGCGCTTCGCGGCGTCGTCTTGGCCAACTATTCCGAGATCAGCGCTGAGGACTCATGTTTTTGTTTCGGTTCCGCGGTTCGCCCAGCACACACAGCTCACAGCTCACACCCGGCACACCCCAGCAGTAGGGCCGCCGTTCATGAAAGCTGTGAAGGAGGCGTGCTCCATCGCGCACACGGCCGAGCGAGGCATCAGCTTGGAGCAGTTGCAGCGGCTCGTGAGGTTCATCTCAAAGATGGCGGACCGATGGTTCGAGACCTACGGTGCCAATGCAGGAAGCAGACTGACATTCGGCACCTTCAACTTGTACCATGCGAATCACTGGATCATCAAGCCAGCCACACAAGGCTATCACGAGCAGAATGGATGCAGCTTGGTGGAGGTCATGGCGCTGGATCCTCACGTGCAGAAGCCGCGCTGGTTCGTGTCCCACGCTTGGATAGACGCTCGGCAAGGGCCCAGCACTCAAGTTTATCGTTTCGGACTGTCCATGGTAACGGAAACAAGTGCTGGATGGGGTTATCATGAGTGCTTTGCATATGTTCCTGGCTTTGACGCAGGGTTGACGCGGACACTGCACAGACACAGACAGAGACACAGACACAGGCACAGACACAGGCACACGCACACGCACGCAGACACACCACGCAGGGTGAACCGCACACCACCAAGACGAGCCAATCTTTGAACAGCCCTTAATAGCGGCTTCATGTGGCGCAGTTGGGCCACGCTGCCTAAGCAAGAAGATGACCGAGCGAATCGGATGTGCGTCGTTTCTAGCATAGAGGTGCTCTATCTGTTTTGATGTTTGTGACAGTCAGTGAGGAGCCAGTCAGCGAGTTCCTCGCATGTCTGGAGCAGCATGCCGGGGTGAGAGATCTGTCTGGCAGCACCACCTACTGGGTGTGTGCGTATGCGAACAACCAGCATCGTGTGGAAGACGATATCCAGTGCAATCCTCGAGACACTTCCTTCTACAGAGCCATGCAGATGTGTGAGGGTGTCCTCCTGGTGCTTGACTCAGCTGGAACCCCCTTTGAGCGCATTTGGTGCTGCTTCGAGGAAAGTATTGCCGCGGCCTCAGCATGCCTTGTTTGGGTCCTGTCGCCTGCTTCACAACGCTCTGCTTCTTGCATGCGTAGGCAGTAGCACGGGTTGCAATGTTCGGGCATAGAGGGATGCAAGCTTTTCTCCCCCTAAGATGTGGAGATGTTTGTATCCTCTATGGGCAGAAGCCCCTGGGGCCGATATCCTTGCTGGCGAGTGGGCCATCTACAGTGTCTGAGTCTCTCTCTTCCTGCTGAGCTGCCCTGTCTCTGGTTTAGGCCATGTTTGTCGCATCTCAATTTCTCACCCTCGTTGTTGAAGCTGGAGGTAGTGAAGGCATGACACAGCACTCTGACACTGCGACGTCTTGTGCAGTCCTCAAGCCCTGCCATGCCCTGCCTATCTTCTAGCTGGAGCGCGATGGTGATACGGTGAAGTATCCTCGGAAAAATTGTCCGCGTTGCGTTGCCCCCTTCGTCTCCCAGGCCATCGAGCGTCGAGAGGACGACTGGTCGACGCGGCGCCTGTTTTTGGACGTTGGCGCCACGGACGCGCAGGGTCAAGCTGCGCGGGCGCAGGGAAAGACGGCTCCATGTGTTGTGCATTGTTGGAGATAGCGTGTTGTCGAATTAAGCCTGTTGGTTCCGAGGCTCACGTCCTGACTGATGGCCTGGCCGGCGCGGAGACGCGGATGATCGGCATCGTCGGCTTGCACAGGAAGTCGGTGCGCGAGCGCACATTCCCCCTGGTGCTCCTGGAGCGGGGTCTGAGCGTGAAGATCCAAGCAGCTCGGCGCATGTTGGCAGATGCCCTTGTTTTTTTGTCCCTGGCACCTTCCTTGGCATCTTGTCACTGCCTCGTGTTTGAAGAGACTCATCACACGCTCCATTCATTCTCAGGAGGCCAAGTACACGGAGAGGATCGACAAGGTGCGGATTCTGAACAGCATCGCCTTCCCTGAGCTCTCGCCTGGCTACTTCCAGGATTTGCAGTCGCACCCCGCAGAGCACCCGAATTATGAGCGGGTGAACCGGGCGCTGGCGTCGCACTTCGCGTTGGCCATGTGGTACGGCTACGTGCAGGAGCAGAAGTCCACGAGAGTTCTGGCGCGTGCCCTGGAGGCAGACGCCTCGCGCCGCATCGTGCAGCTGTCCTTCACGGGCTGTGCGCACTTCGGGGACGCCGAGCTCCTCGTGCTGATGTCGCACCTGCCGGATGTGCGCGTGCTGCGACTGGACCTGTGCTTCACCGGGTTGGAGACCTTGGACTCCTTCGTCTCGTCCTCGGGATCGGCCGCTCCGGGCCTGCGGTGCTTGGCGGAGCTCACGCTGCGCCTCACGGGCTCCGAGCGCCTGCGCAGCGTGGCCGGCCTGAGCGAGGCGCTGGCAGACATGCGGCTGGCCTACCTGGAGCTCTGGCCAGGGGTGTGAAATGCATGTCCCAGCAATATATAGGACTCCAGGGTCGTTTTGCGATTTCGCTCATGTTTAGTCGTAGGTGAGATGTCTCAGATGCTTCAGTGGTGTTGTTCGCTGGGCTGGCGCACGCAGGCTGATGAAGCTGCCACAGCTGGTGGAGCTCGGGCCCTTGGCCCCGGCATTGAAGAGCCAGTCCTTTGGAGCCTTGGAGGATTTGGTCTTGGACCTCAGCGGATGTGAGCCTTGGAGACGAAATGAACCCTAAAAGGGTTAAGGGTTAAGGGTTAAGGGTCAAGGGTTAAGGTTTCGGGTTCATCTACCTCAATAGGAATTATAGTAGTCAGGGTATATGACCCCCAGTTTTAGGGTTCATGTCCTCCCCAAGGAGCAAGTCTCAAGGGAGGCGCGCGTGGAGCTGCAGGGAGTTGTCGGGTCGCTCACGCGATTTCGCCGCGTGAACACCTGGGTTCACATTGAAGCACTTGTCGATAATTGGGTGCCTCGCCGGCTGGGCCAGGTGTATTTTCCGCGCGCCAAGTCTGGCTCCTTTTCGCCCACGAGCTTCTACAGTCCAAGCAGCTGCAGCAGCACCAGCGACGAGTCAGGAGAGGACACTGACACAGAGATGCGAGACAGCGAGTGCGAGTTTGATGAGGTCAGACCCTTTCCCTGCAGCCATCCTACATGCCGGACGTTTCATGATTTGGAGGGCGGGTATTGTCAGAGGCATCGTTGTTCTGGGTTTTGCAGAAGGATCTGCTCATCGCTGAACTCTCAACGCCGGTATTGTCAGCTTGTTGTGCTCATGTTCACCCAAGCGATAGCAGAAGCTGAGAGTCGACATCTGCTGTTTCTCGTTGTCTTCAGCCTCTTCCCCGTCGCATGCTACAGCTTGTCGCAGTTAATGCGGGCTGATGCCACGGCCATGCTCTTGTCGTTTGCAGTGATCGCAGTCATGAGCACATGGTACACGACGGTTCGGCTCAATCGAATGCAAGAGCTGTCAAGGGAGCTGGAGGTGCGTGCTGAGTCCATCTATGCCAGGCACCTGGGGAGTGACTTGTCCACTCTGTTTGGTGATCAGGGCGAAGAGCACATTACTCAATTCCGTGTGAACAGCTTGCAAGAGCACTACTTGGAAGCCAGAAGACACGCTGAGACGTTTCACGAAATGGTGTGCCTGCCGCTGAAAGCCTTCCTGGACAGCCAGATGGTGTTCGGATTATCTGAGAACTTGCGGCCGAAGCTGATGCCAGTGCCGCTGGCGCGTGAAGCTCTCGAAAGGGAGGGCGACCCAAGTCGCGTCTTTGACATCTTGTATTGCAACGTGACACTTCCTGACCTGACTTCCATTGCCCGTGCCTGGCAATTCCTCAAGACATGCTTGGAGAACGATGAAGGGAACGTTCAGATTATGTCCATGCGGGACTCCTTTGCTCTTGCCCAGGCTGGCCATAGGTGTGCAGAGATTGTGGTCAGGGTCCACAGCTATTTAGCTACGATCCGGTTCTTTGAAGACTCCCTGAATGAGCTTGAAGAAGAACTGGACGACGTGCATCGAAGGGCGAGACAGCTGGGGCTTGTAGCCAGTAAGGAAGCATGCCGGCGCCAGCCCGCTTCAAAATCGCGTCCTTGGTTTCTGGATGTGTCCCTCTGCATTCTTCGTACGATCTCTCTGCTGGCTGCAGTGTACCTTGCGGGGCAATACTTCGCTCGCTACAGTCCGAAGGGTTTCCAGTCTGAAGTACGCCATTCACCGGTATGGCCGGCATGGCAATATGTGTTTGCGTTAGAGTCAGATGCAGATCCTTCCGCTCATCCCGAGACGTGGGTGCCGTGCTTGTTCTTCACCTTGCCCTACCTCGTGCTGACGTTCGTCCTTGTGTGCGACTTGCAGCGATGCCAAGCGGGCGCGAGTACACGGAGCCTGACGCCCATACAGTTGCTTTACGAGAGCGATTTCGGGATACACGGAAGGTTCTACAGCTTAAAAGTGGCCGTCTCACAGTTCTTCATTGTGATGCTACAGGCATTAGGCAAGATTCCAGTCATGGGTGGCTTCGCGTCCTTCGCGATTCAGGAAGACTCAGACATATCAGAGTCCTTCACGCTGTCGTTCTGGATCTTCGTTGCCATTCTGTGCATCAACAGCCTTTATCCGAGCATCCTGTTCTTGTTCCCCTCCAACAAACGGGCACGTCTGGGAGTGGGGATCTTGGATGCTATTCTTGATATTGCTTACACCCTCCCATACTTGGTAGTGACGCTGCTGGCCTCCTATGTGCTGGTGATGAAGCGAGTGGTTTCAGGGAACTTCGGTGTTGAGGAAGTTGAACTTAGACTTAAAGAGAGGTCCGACCCCCAGATTGCCTTTCCTACGAACTTCTTCGGCTACTTCGCCGTCTACTATTCCGTGGCCCATGTGTGCATGGTTTGCCGGGCCCTCGAACGCAACGTTCCCAAAGCATGGCTGATTGGGGAGGGAAGTTCTTCTTTGCCGTCGCTCTGCCCAAAAGGCGCAGCTTCTGGCGGGAAATGCGAGGCCCTTTGCAAGGTGCTGCCTCCTGGTTGCCGAGCACGTGCCCTTTTGGCATCCTTTTTTTGCTCGTCATCCCTTTCGATCCCTTTCGTTTCCTCCAACTACCATGCAGTCTTTGCACGTGTTCCTCTGTTGATTGATGTGTTTGCTTTGTTGCTTCGGCTTCGAAGGTATTCGCCAAGCCTGCTGCTCGTCGTCGCCTACTTGGTGCTGTCGAGTTCGTCATACCCCAACCACCGGCGAGTGGAGGGCTGCTTTCCCTGTGACTGCAAGCAGGTCGGTGGTATCAAGCAGCTTTCACACTGCCACGTGGCTGGTGCTCTCCGCATCAAGGATGTGTACCTTAATGACCAGAACATCAGCAGTATTGCGCCGCATGCATTCAGGTTTTTGCCCGGATTGCAGCGTCTCTCCCTCTCCGGAAATCCGCTGCACGTCCTGCCCGGCAAGCTCTTTGCTCCCCTGAAGGACTTGGAGCTTTTGGATCTCAGTCGTGCGGACTTGCGTCATCTGTCGGCTAAATCGTTTGCAGGCCTTTCGGCCCTGCGGGTCCTGTCGCTGAGCGGAAATCAACTGAAGCATCTGCCAGAAGGCCTGCTGTATCCCATGCCTGCCTTGGAGAAATTGTTGCTGGGAGACGCAAGTGGCAAGAGCGGAGGTGTTTACAAGCATCTTGTTACTGGGAATGAGTTGATGTCACTGCCAAGTGACATCTTCAATCGGAGCCTCCAACTAACAGTCCTGGATCTTGGCGACAACCGCCTTGTGACCCTTCCCGACGGCCTGCTGTCGATGAACGGAATGCTGGAGAGCCTTGACCTGGGACGCAACCGCCTCAGAGACCTTCCCGTGGACATCTTCAAGGGTCTCTCGAGGCTGCGCACACTTGTTCTGCGGCTGAATCAGCTCAGCACCCTACCGCTTGGGCTCTTCTCCGGCCTCGGCCACTTGGAGATTCTTGACATGCAACGCAACCAAGTCACAGAACTTGCTGCCGGAGTCTTCGACGGCCTCGAGAGTTTGAAGCGTCTTGACATGGCCCGGAATCCTCTCAGAGCACTTCCCGTCGGCTCATTTGCCGGACTGTCCAGCTTGGAAAGTCTGATCATAAGTCACGGCTCGCCTACTGCACTGGCGGCGGGACTCTTTGCCGGCCTCCCCAATTTGAAGATCTTGAATCTCGATAACAAATCGATCAGCCAGCTGCCGGTGGGAATCTTCGCAGGTTTGGGACAGTTGGGGTCGCTTTACCTGTCGGAAAACCCTCTTGGCAAGCTTCCGGTCGGAGTCTTTGCTGGCCTGGGGAGGCTTGAGCATCTCTGGCTGGTGAACACCTCCCTGGTTGCACTTAGCCCGTCAGGCTTTGCAGGCCTCAGCAGCTTGAAGTGGCTGAAGCTGGGTAAGAACTCGCTCACTGAAGTGTCAGTGGACTCTTTCATTGGCCTCCCAGGCCTGAGTATGTTGGATCTCAGTCGCAACTCCATCAGCAAGCTTCCCGTGGGGGCCTTCACCGGCTTGGGGCATTTGAAGACGCTTCGTCTGGGTCACAACCCGCTTGGGCAACTTCCGGTCGGAGTCTTTGCCGGCCTGGGGAGGCTAGACGGACTCGTTCTGGCGACGACCTCACTCACCGAGTTTCGTCCATCATGCTTTGCCGGTCTCGGCCCCAGCCTGAGAGTGTTGGACCTGCGTGACAACTCCATTCGGGATCTGCCGGCAGGGGGTTTTGTGACCCTCCCCAACCTGACGACGCTGAACCTGATGCAGAACTCCATCGACGCGCTGCCGGCGGGCGCTTTCAGAGGCTTGGGGCATCTGCACAAGCTCTACTTGCAGATGAACCCACTTCGCCAGCTTCCGGAGGAAGTCTTTGCCGACCTCACCAGCTTGCAGCTTCTGGCGCTGTATGGGACCCACGCAGCGCCGGCCATCTGCTTCCGGCCCTCGGTCCGCTGCTCCGCCGTGAAGTACACGCCCGGAAGTGTGCCAAGCGTCAAAAACGTGCAGCGCAGAGAGGGGGCCACCGGCCGGGTTTAGAAGGGGGGGCGTCTAGGATCTCGACTCCTTGAGCCCAAGAGACTTTCCAAAGAGGCGCTGAAGCTGATGTCTCGGATCAAGTTCACAGCAGGGAAGCCCGGATTGACAGTAAGTTCAATGTCGAGTGGCGTGCTCAACACCCCGAAAATCCCTAGAAGGACCTGGAGGCCACACTCTCCCCCCCCTGCCCCCCCTTCCCCTGTTCGTGCTGAAACCTGCAGCTGTTTCTGTTATACCAAGCTTGCTGTAGCTTTGAGTGACAGGCAATGATTCCAAGAGGAGTTCCCTGGTATTGTCCTGCTTTGTAGACAGGGAGCCTGCCTGTCTAGCCAAGTTTGACCAAGAGGAAGTTCAATGATGCCAAGAATACGGTCTAAGCCCCCTAAACTCCTTGAACTCGCCCCGAAACTCCCTCAAAAACTCCCCCAACAACTCCCCCCAAAACTCCTCTGCACACTCCCCCCCAAAACTCCCGCAAAACGCCCCCCCAAACAACTCCCCCCAAAAACTCCTCCCCCAACGGCCCCCAACAACTCCCCCCCGAACTCCGGGCGTGGCGAAACTCCGCAAAATGGCCCCAGAGTCCGACTCCGACTCGGATTCCGCCAGCAGCAGAAGAAGGCCCTTTGGGAAGCTAGGTCGGCCTTCTGTGGGGACATTTTCGATTTTTCCCTCTTGGGTTGAAGAGGGGAACAGTTTTTCCCTTATTGGGTTTGTTGGGTTTAAGAGGATAGTATTTGGGACTGTTTTTCCTTCTTGGGTGAAAGAGGATACTACTCAGGAAATATTTTCCCTTAAACGGGCCATCCCAGGAAGATTCTGCTCCTGCTGGGAGTGCTGGCTTGCGTGATGCTGTCGACGAGCTTGGCCGCGTTCTTGCGAGGAGCGGGAGGGTGAGTCTAACCCCTGAACCCTAAACCCTAAACCCTAAACCCTAAACCCTAAACCCTAAACCCTAAACCCTAACCCTAAACCCTAAACCCTAAACCCTAAACCCTAAACCCTAAACCCTAAACCCCAGGGCTTCGGGGGTCTTAGGGCTTCGGGGGTCCGGTCTGGGCTTTGCAAGGTTTGAAATGCTGGGTAGTCGCTTTGCCTGGCACCGCCTGGTAGAAGCACAGGAGCGCACACTTGAGGCAGCCACATCGAATCTTTTTAGGGTTTAGGGTTTAGGGTTTAGGGTTTGGGGTTTAGGGTTTAGGGTTTAGGGTTTACTTTCTAGTTGTTTTGGGGTAAATAGGAAAATCACCGGAATCACGCTTGAGGCAGTCAATGTTCTGCCGTGGAGTTCGTTTGTTTCTCGGTCTGGGAGCGCAGCAACCTTGCGGAATCACACCTTTGCCCTTTGGGTACTGTAGTCACACACACACTCTATGCGTCAACAGATGTTGTTTTGGGTTTCAGGCACTTTGGGCAGTCACGATCTGTCTTTGAGCGTTTCTTCGTTTTGTTGTTTTCGGTTGTGAAAACAAGCTTCTCCTTTGGGGATGTGATGCGAACAGGCGCTCCAGTTTGTTTTTAAAATGGTCTCAAACATCAGCGTATGCCAGGTGTCGTTAGTTTTGAGCTCTCATGCATTCAGGTCCTTGCCGTATGTTGATGTGTATTCTTGCTGCTGAACGTAATTCTCACCTGGAGCGTCCGCAAAAATGAGGTGATGCGTACGCTTGTGACTGGAGTTACGTCCGCCTCTTGTGAAACCCAAGCTGCTCCTGGAAAGATGATTTAAGTTATTGCCGGAGCCCTCACATACAAAGCTGCCGCGCTCCCTCACCTGGCTTGGAGCTTCATGGTACTTATTAACCCCACTTTGAAGCCCCTTAAGTTCCCTAAACCCTAAACCCTAAACCCTAAACCCTAAACCCTAAACCCTAAACCCTAAACCCTAAAAGTACAGGTAAAAGTACAGTCTTAATTGGTTCATAAGTACCAGGAACCTCCAAGGGCCCCTGGTTCTTAGTAGGGATTGAGGGCATTAGGGCCTTACACATACCCTTTAAGGGATCATCTTGAAACAGGGTATATATTTTTGCTGAGTGTACATAAGGTTCCTGTTTAATCTTGGTGAGTGTATTCATTTGGTGTCCTTTTGGGGGTACAAGAAATATATACCCTACTTCATATAGGGTACCTCATTCCCTCATTCCCGACGCAAAACCCGGCGGTGCAGGCGCGCGGGCGCCTGCGAAGCTGGGGCGGTCAGGGTCGGCCTTGCGACAAAACCTGGTCGCCTTGCTTCTGGGCTGCTTAGGGTTTGGGGTTTAGGGTTTAGGGTTTTAGGGTTTGGGGTTTAGGGTTCAGTGTCCAGTGAGCTTACTTGAAGAAGCCGTCATACAGACATACAGCAGCTCATAGGGTTGCCTTGTTCCTCTACTCCCCTAAAGCCCTAAACCCTCAACCCCAAGCCCTAAGCCTTTAACCCGAACCCTACACCCGAAACCCTAAACCCTAAACCCTAAACCCTAAACCCTAAACCCTAAACCCTAAACCCTAAACCCTAAACCCTAAACCCTAAACCCTAAACCCTAAACCCTAAACCCCCAGGCTTCCGAACGACTTGGATGACTTCTCGCCCGGGTCAATGACGCGCGAGGCGTTCCTGAACACCGTGGCTGCTCAGATCCTGCTCCCGGGTTGCTGCCTTAAGGACCAAGTGGGTCTAGGGTTTAGGGTTTAGGGTTGAGGGTTGACGGTTGAGGGTTGAGGGATTCGGTTTTCTTCAAACCCATCTACCCAGATAATTCATGGCAACTTAGCTTGGGTTCCTTAACAGCAACTCAGGCTCTTCGCGGGCTTCTCGCCCGCCACGGGGCAGTGGGTGAAGGGGCCGCCGCAGTCGCTGTCCCAGCGCGTGCAGAGCATCCAGCCGACCTGGAAGAAGGGTCCCGTCGACTACTCGCCGGACGGGGGCACCCCTTTGGCTCCCGGGGGGCTGCCGCTGTTCAAGATTGCGAATGCAGGCCGCTCGCCCGGGCGTGGGCACCGCATGACGTCGACAATCCCCGGAATTGATCATAGTCATAGCCAGAACCGGAACAAGAACCTCCACAAACATGTCATCACCCCCTCAGAATAGGTCCCCCGCCATGCTCGTCATACGATGAACGAACCCCTCTCCATGGGCGTCGGTTTTTCAAGGAGCCACGGCGCTGAGCGCCGGCTCCACGGTGGCCTCCATGGCCGCGGAGCTCGAGGCCAAAGGCCTCCGCAAGGTGGACCTGGATGCCAGGGCCTGGGAGGCCCTGGGTGAGATGCTGTCCTGGCGCCTGCCGGCTGCTAGGACGAGCTAGGCTGGCAGAGGTTTGCGGGGTTCTCTTTTTGGGGGCGGTTGAGTCGGGTTTTGGAGTTCAAGAAGAGGTCTTCGTTAGGGGTCTTAGGGGGCCTTACAAGCGTTTTCGGGTTTGTTGCTTCTGGTTGCAAAGTAGCTACAAGGGGGCTAGAAGCAGCTCGAGACCCTATTTGACAAAAAGGCTCCGGTGCCCCAGCCGACTCCGGAGCCGCCGCTGGCGCTGCTGGCGTTCTCCTTCGACGCGACGCCGAGCTGCCGCACATTGCTGGACTGCCCGCTCCCCGGGCCAAGCAATGAGCTCCTGACCTCCACAGTGGAGCAGTTCTGCAACACCTCCGCACATGTCGAGGCGGCTGCCTAACCATGCAATGAGATGGAGGTCTCCGAAAGGGTACTTTTTTCAACAGGGGGGTTTCTGCCGCATTCGACTACTGTATTTGAGGGCCAAGTTTGCGAAAGCTGTCCACTGGAGGTCTACGCCCAGTGGGAAATCGCCGCGGCGCTGCATCGATCGGGCCGAGTGCCGGCAGATCGAGTTCATCCCGCGGGCGCGCCGGGGCTCTACATGAACACCGTACAGATCCTGGAGGCCCCTAGACCCAAAACCCCCCCCCCCCCCCCCCCCCCCCCCCGACCTTCAACTTGAAGCCTCAAAAGGGGAGAGGGTGCGAGGGTAGCCAGGCTTCATGCAAGAGGGCCCTGCTGAGACCTAGAGATGAATTAAGGCTCACTCTACACCCCTGAACCCTAAACCCTAAACCCTAAACCCTAAGCCCTAAGCCCTAAGCCCTAAGCCCTAAGCCCTAAGCCCTAAGCCCTAAGCCCTGAAATCGAAACCCTAAACCCAAAACCCTAAATACCCGAAGACGACTCTCATCCTCAGGCCATGGTGCAGGAGGCCTCCAAGCGGCCGAAGCCCCGGAATCTGGTCGTCCTGGCGCACCCGGACCACCTCCGAAGGGCGACGCGCACCTTTGCCAATCTGCTAGGGGCATATGGGGTTTAGGGTTTAGGGTTTAGGATTTTTGGGGGGTTTAAGGTTTCGGGGTTTGGGGCTGAGGAGTTTGAGAGGTCGGGGTCTTGGGGAGAAGTGCCCTGGACACTTGAACTCCCCCAAACCTCTGGACACTTAAACTCCCCCAAACCTCACTCAAGGCCCAGGCCGCCCTGATACCCTCCTCAAGTCTTGGGAATCAAACTCAGGCCCATGAAGTCATGGGAGTAACCCGAACCCAGGCGCATCGCGTCAAGAGCATAAGGGCTCGGAGGGGCCTGGGCTTAGCCCATCACCCGGAGAGTTTCGCCTGCTCTTAGGTAAGGTTCGAAGCATACCATACTACTTGCGCCGGATCCATGTGAGGCCTCAACAGCAATGCCGACTAATGCAGCTTAGGCACCGTTCAGACCTTCCTGGGGCAGCGGGCCACACCGTTTTCTGAATCTGCAGTGGCGCCAGCAATGGCACCGTACGACCTGGAGCCTGTGGCGGTCTAAGCCTTTCTTGGGGTTTCATAGGGTCGTGGGGCTTTGGGGCTTAGGGGGTCCGCATCCCATCGCGCGAAAGACCACCAAACGCCGCGAAGTTGTGCCAGAATTCGAATGAGCAGCAAAGGACTGGCCACAGAACCGATCGGAAGGAGCCTCCCTGAATCTCTTCTCAGGCGGGGGGGGGGCTGCCCCGTGTTCGGGTTCATACTTCTGGGATCCTGTGCTACCCCACCGTAGCTGTGCCCACTACTCTGGGCACACAACCAAAGGTTCTTTGTGCCTTGTTTCGGGTGACGAGCGATGCCCGGCAAATCTGCCTCAGGTGTGTCGTCGGTGGTCCACAGCCAGGGGCGAGAAGTGGCCGCAAGCTGGTACTCCGCCAACCTGGGCTACTGGCTTGCTAGATGAAGGAGCTAGATGATCTGAGGTTGTCGCAAAAGGTTTAGACGCTACGTAGTGCGGCTTTCTTTGCATGGCAATAGTACACAACCCTAAACCCTAAAGCCCTAAGCCCTAAGCCCTAAACCCTAAACCCTAAACCCTAAACCCTAAAGCCCTAAACCCTAAACCCTAAACCCTAAACCCTAAACCCTAAACTTGAACCCTGCAGTCCTTAGTCGCGGCCCAGGCTACTTTCCTGATGGCGACCCACAGCTCTGGGTCCACAGCCGAGAGGCCCCCAGCGCTGATCGTGGCAGGTTTCGGGTTTAGGGTTTAGGGTTTAGGGTTTAGGGTTTAGGGTGTAGGGTGCCTCATTGAGGGGGTGCGCTGGTGCAAAAGCAGCCAGGCGCACGCCCCGACTTGTTGAGCCCCACTCCCGCTTGCGCTCCAACCTCGTCTTGACCTTCGCGGGTTTAGGGTTTCCTTGCTTCCTGATATAGCGCAGCTACAGGCATTCGGGTGATCCGAAGCCCCCTCGAAGGAGGCCTTTCCTAGGCGGGTGTCTGAGGTTCCGTGTTGGGAGCGGGAGTTCGGGGCCCTGGAATGTCGGGAAGCGAAAATATTTAGGCCCCGGCATGCGTCTGGAATGTTCGGTGTCTGAGGCTTGGTGTAGGGTTCAGGGTTTGGGGGGGTTTAGGGTTTAGGGTTTCGAGTTTAAGGTTTGGGGTTTAGGGGGCCCTGTGCTGTTCTGGATCCGAGGTCTGGGTCCTCTACGACCACTGGGCCATGGCCAAAGGTGTGGCCACCGGCATCATCGAGCCAAAGTCGCCCGAAAGTTAGAAAACGGCGTCGGGGCGCTTCAGTTGGATCTAGGTTCTAGGGTCTAGGGCTTGGGGTTTGCGGTGTAGGGTTTAGGGTTTAGGGTGAAGCGTTTAGGCTTTAGGGTTTAGGGTCTAGGAAATGCTGGCGTGAACCGCAGAGGTTGTACCAAGATTTCGTGAATAAGTGGCACATTTGCTCGCATCCTTTTCTACACCCCCCAATCCGGTTGTAAAGTCGAGCGAGGCCTCCTCCTCAATCCCCAACCCGAAATTCCCCAAACTCCCCAAATAAACCCTAAACCCTAAACCCTAAACCCTAAACCCTAAACCCTAAACCCTAAACCCTCAACCCTCAACCCTCAACCCTCAACCCTCAACCCTCAACCCTCAACCCTAAACCCTAAACCGTAAAAGACACCAGCCAAACCTCTAAGAACGCTAATGGAATTCGCCACAGGAGAAACTGGCCGACAGGGGCATGTGGGCCTGTGGGTTGTTCCAAATCCGCGGGGGCGCCAAAACCCGCAAGCCCCAAAGCCCAAGCCCCCAAAAACCCCAAACCCAACGTTAAAGATCCCAAGCCGTTCTTCTGCTCGGGCGAGGGCGCTGCTCATGGTTTAGGGTTTAGGGTTTAGGGTTTGGGATGTGCCGATGCTTGAGGCTTTGTGGCCCAAGGCAAGGACGATTGCCGGTCATGTGTTTAACTTAATGCTTCGTCAATTGAAACGTCCATGGCGCTCTTCTGCACCAGCCTGGCGTTAGCAACTCGTCCATCAGAGGGATTTGTGGAACTGCTGCGAAACAGATCAGAACGGTAGGTTCGCATTCGGCCCCAGAAACTCCAAAATTAGACCCAGAACATAAACCGGCACTCTTTCCACTGTTCAACATTGCCTTGAGCAGGTTTCAGGAATTTCGCTTATGTTACCATGGTAAAGAGCTTTCAGAAAACACGGTTTTTCCTCAAAATGTGAACTGAGTTTGACTAAGTCACCATGGCAGCAAGCAAAGCAGGCCTCATGACCGGGGGTATGTCGCATGCAACTTGCGCAAACCACTTCTTTGAATCGGCCACACCCGAAACCCCATACCGCAGCCTTTGAAAGTCCGAGGCGATCGCAGCATTGGCAGCAGAGCCGTCCCGGCTGCATGTCGGCAACGCCGGCTGGGGTCTCCGCTTCGATGGTGTTGACGACATCGTGTTGCTTCTCGGTGTCCGCGAAGGGTTTAGGGTTTAGGGTGTCGGGTTTAGGGTTTAGGGTTTAGGATTTAGGGTTTATTGGGGTTTAGGGCTAGATGCATAGTGAAACAGATAGTTTCCTAAAGGAATCCCTGAATTAGCATGGTAACCCCGTTCCAAGTTCCAACCGTGCGTAAAGCCGTTGGGCTGAGGGTTAGTCAGCAGCATATGAGCACTTCTTGCACCAGCCCCACTTCGGCTGAGCCTGTGGGGGTGCTGATGCTGCAAGTTTCGTAGCAAGCTCAGCCACATCCCGTGCAGGCAGTGTCAAGCAAGGCTCGTTACATGTCCTTACATACCAGGTTCAGGCAAGCTTTGACTGTCTGCTTTGAGAAATAGACATCCCCAGGCTCGAAAACATGGGAAACTTGCAGCCAGACAAAGAACCTCGAAGCTTCGGAGGGTCGGAGAGAAGAATCTCCAGGCTGTGCTCAGAGCGTAGGCTCGGCATTTGAAGCAGAAAAAAACGCCTGCGTGTGGCTGCTAGGCCAGGCCCTAACGCAGCAAAGAACAGCAGCCATAAGCCCTAACCCCTAAGCCCTAAACCCTCAATCCTTGTCTAAGCTCCCCAGCCGCCGAGATTTGACCGCATGCCGTTGCCGCCTTTCACGATCGAGTTCTGGGCCCAGCCATTGGATCTGAAGGACCCGAGGTTTAGTGGTTTTAGTGGTTTTAGGGTTTAGGGTTTAGGGATTTAGGGTTTAGGATTTAGGGGGATATTTAGGGTTTAGGGAGGCTTTAGTGTTCCCCCTGGAAGGTTCCCCTGGAAGGCACCCCCTGACGGCTTGTAGGGTGTAAGTTCTTGTGTTTAGGGTTTTTGGGTTTAGGGTTCAGGGTTCAGGGTTTAGGGTTTAGGGTTTAGGGTTTGTGGATTGTCTCAACATCCTCAGCCCCCTTGTTTCAGTTGCCCCTCGTGGCCAGGATGGCGGCGGACAGGCTTTAGCAGCATACAACGTCAATGGGGTGATGCTCTCCCAAAACACAGCGACCGGCATTATCTTGTCGCCGGGCTTCATCATCATCCACGCCGGCCCCCCCCCCCCCACAAAACCCAAACCCTTAAGCCTTAAAGCCCCCCTGAAGCCGTACAAGCCCCACGGTTTCAATAGACGCCTGGCTCAGGTCCATACTGGATCTTGGGGCAGAGATTCACACCTCGACGGCGACCGTGGACTCCTTCATGGGGTCCCCAGCTCCTTCCGAGATCTTCCACTGGGCCATGTCACTCAGCAAGGATGGCGACTACGCGGTGTATGTCAATGGCGACAGCGTTGGCACAGGAGCCTTAGCAGAGGAGGACATGCGGGCGATTGCGGATCAGTACATGGCCTTCCCATGGACGCTGGGAGGGCGCTTCGGACGCATCCTGGGCCAGTATGTGCCTCGCTCCCGTCTTGGTCAGATTCTTGAGTTCAACGTTGCGGGCTCCTGAACCCAAAGCAGCCCTCCGAAACCCTAAGCCCGAAACCCTAAACCCTAAACCCTAAACCCTAAACCCTAAACCCTAAACCCTAAGCCCGAAACCCCAAACCCCAAGCTAAAGCCACAGGTTACCGATGACCGAGCCTTCGGCGGAGTCATGGACGAGATCCGCGTGTGGAGTTGTATTCGCAGCCCTCAGGAAATCCGTGACAGCAGGTGGCGGTTCTGCAGTGATTTGGGGTTTGGGGTTTAGGGTTTAGGGTTTGGGTTTAGGGTTTAGGGTTTAGGAGTTAGAGTTTAGGGTCTAGGGTTTAGGGTTGAGTATTTAGGCAGACCCCTATTGGTGTCCCCCAAAAAACCTTACACCTTTGACCCTCTACCCTTCACCCTCCCAGAAAGCCCCCTAAACCCTAAACCCTAAACCCTAAACCCTAAACCCTAAACCCTAAACCCTAAACCCTAAAACCCTCCGAAGCCAGGTTATTATTCAACCTCCAGGGGCTTGATGCCACCAACTTGACGATCCATCTGGGCTTTGACATGCCAGACGATGCCCGGTTATTGAGGGTTTCGGGTTTCGGGTTTAGGGTTGAGGGTTTAGGGTTGAGGGTTTAGGGTTTCGGGTTGAGGGTTTCGGGTTGAGGGTTGAGGGTTTAGGGTTTGATGTCTCCTTGGGGTGTAGGGGGTTGGGGGGGCTTGGGGGTTAGGGTTTGGTGTTTGGGTTGAGAGGAGGAACACTAACACCTAAACCCCGCACCCGAAACCCTAAGTTCAGGGCAGACCCCTATTTGTGCGCCTCTAACCCCCTAAAAACCTTACACCTTAGACCCTATACCCTTCACCCTAAACCACACAAAGACCCCAGAAACCCCCCTAAACCCTAAACCTAAACCCTAAACCCTAAACCCTAAACCCTAAACCCTAAACCCTAAACCCTAAACCCTAAGCCCTTCGCCCTTCTTCAGCCCGAAGCACCCCAGCATCAATGGCAGTGCAGCTTCCAGCATCCCTTCCCAATGCTTGCGTCGCCTGAGCCCTACAAGCCCCATCCCAGACCCTAGAGCCCCTGCTTCAGTGATGCTCAGCTGAAACCCTAAACCCTAAACCCTAAACCCTAAACCCTAAACCCTAAACCCTAAACCCTAAACCCTAAACCCTAAACCCTAAGCCCCAAACCCTAAACCCAAAACCTTAAACCCCCCAAACCCCCATTCGGGTCCCAGGAAAGCCCGCCCGGAGCACTACTTGGAGCCGGCGTCCTTTTCAAGACTCCCACGTGGGTGCCCTCCCCGATGCCAGGCAGGGCAGGGTTTGGTTTAGGGTTTAGGGTTTAGGGTTTGGGGTTTAGGGTTTAGGGTTTAGGGTTTAGGGCTTAGGGTTTAGGGTTTAGGGTTTAGGGTTTAGGTTTTAGGTTTTAGGTTTCAGGGTTTTGGGGGGTTTTAGGGGTTTTAGGGTTGTGGGGCTTAAGGTTTAGGGTTCTCGGATTTGAGGTTCCAGGGTTTTGGGGGGTTTAGGATTTTCAGGGTTTAGGGTTTGGGGTTCTGGGGTGTTGGTGTGTTTCGGGTTTTAGGGTTGGGGGTTTAGGGGTTTCTAGGGGTTTGGGGTTTAGGGTTCTAGGGTTCTAGGGTTCTAAACCCTTAGGGCTTTCGGCATTGTCTTGGCCAGGGTGATGCGTAGGCTTGCCTTGGTCTTGCCCCTTGAAACCGAAACCCCACCCTCAAACCTTAAACTTAAACCCCCTAACACCCCCCAAAGCCCCCAAGCCCCCCAAGGCCCCCAAGCCCCCCAAACCCCCGAAACCCCCTAAACCCCCTAAGCCCTAAACCCTAAACCCCCTAAACCCTAAACCCTAAACCCTAAACCCTAAACCCTAAACCCTAAACCCTAAACCCTAAACCCTAAACCCTAAACCTTAAACCCTAAGCTCCAGCTCTCAACCCCCGAGCCCTGGCCCATAAACCCGAAACCCCTAATGCCCCCCCACCAGACCCCGTTGCATCTTGCCTAACACGCCTACACCCAAAACCACCAAAACCTAAACCCTAACCCCCTAAACCCCTAAGCCTCTCTTTCATATATAATTTGAATGTTGGGGAGATACTGGACAAGGTCGCCGTTTTACTGGGCAAGGTCATGTTTTTACTGGGCAAGGTCATTTTTCTGGGCAAGGTCATTTTTTACTGGGCAAGGTCGTTCGGTCCAAAAGACGACCTTGCCCAGCAAAAAAGTGACTTTGTCCAGTGAAAAAATGACCCCCCTTGCCCAGAAAAAATGACCTTGCCCAGTAAAAAATGACCTTGCCCAGTAACTCTTTTGCTGGGCAAGGTCATATTTTTACTGGGCAAGGTCATGTTTTTTGCTGGACAAGGTCACTGTTTACTGGGCAAGGTCTTATTTTTACTGGGCAAGGTCATGTGTTTACTGGGCAAGGTCATTTTTTTGTACTCGGCAAGGTCATTTTGCTACTGGGCAAGGTCGTTCTATAAGTGAAATCTTTTCTTATTATGGGATTCTTTGGGTGGGTGGGTATGTTTCTGGAACAATTTCTTGACTCTTGGACTTGAGATGCTGAACCCTAAGCCCTAAGCCCTAAGCCCTAAACCCTAAACCCTAAACCCTAAACCCTAAACCCTAAACCCTAAACCCTAAACCCTAAACCCTAAACCATCTTAGGCTTTTCGGGTTTAAGGTTTAGCCAGGCCTCGGAGGTCCCGTGGTCGTCGACGTGGGGTTGGGTGACCTGGCTGCAAAGGAATTTTGAAACTTCAGGATACCTAACCTCTAAACCCTTAACCCCAAACCCCAGACCCGAAACCCTAAACCCTAAACCCTGAACCCTAACTTGTTCATGGTTCAGGGTTTAGGGTCCTTAAGCCCCCCATCAAACCCTCGATTGAGTTACTGATTGCGCCCCATAAGGAAGCTCCATGAAACCCCGACAAAAGCCTAGCCACCCCCCATCCATAACACCCTTAACCCGAAAGGGTGAAGGGGCTCACCCTAAACCCTAAACCCTAAACCCTAAACCCTAAACCCTAAAGCCTAAACCCTAAACCCTAAACCCTAAACCCTAAACCCTAAACCCTAAACCCTAAACCCTACACCCTTCCAGTGCTCTGGGCTACCTGTTTGGCATGGTTTGGGCTGTAGGGTTCAGGGTGCCCGTTGGTGGGTTCAGGCTGTCGGCTTGCTACAGCATTTAGAGGGTTTAGGGTTTAGGGTTTAGGGTTTAGGGTTTAGGGTTTAGGGTTTAGGGTTCAGGCTGTCAGGGTTGTGGTGTGCTCGGAGGCAGTGGCGTGCAGGACATCCAGATCTGCGCCAGCATGGATGAGTTTGCGGACGGGGTGGTCATGACCGCAACTTTCCCGCAATCCCTCTCGACTGGTATTCTGATGAGTCCCTCCATCCCACTGTCTGAAAACCGTTCGGCGGAGCTCTTCCAGCTCTGTGGCTACGTGTCCTACATGCCCCAAAGGCCCGGCTTTGACGTTTCAGACTTCCACGTAAGCGCCGACGTCGGAGGTGTGATTCTGCAAGCCACCGGAACCCTGCATGTGCGGGTGCGCCAGAATCATCACCCGGTGGCTGGCGCTGCGCGGGCCATGCATACAGATGGGCAGAGCGGATATGCCCTACTAGGCCACACGCCGCAGGAGGACGAATTCTCATTCTCTTTGTGGATGAAGGCCGATACAACCTCCTCGGAACCGTGCATGGTCGGCCGGCACTGGATCAAGGACGCAGAAAATTACATCCTCCTCTTCTTCCACGGCGGCGCGTACAGTTTCTTGTGGAAGTGTTCGTCAGGCTCGGGCTGTTGGTTCTCACATTCCAAACCATGAGCATGACAAACATCCCTGCCAGAACGGTCTTCTACCTCGGGTCGAAGCTTATAATAACCTGCTGGGAGCAAGTCCCCTTCACACCCAAAGGTCTTCTTCTCCCTTAAACCCTAAACCCAAAGCCCCAAGCCCAAAATCCTGGAGAACGCAGCGCCTAAACCCTGAACCCTGAACCCTGAACCCTGAACCCCAAACCCCAAACCCTAAACCCTAAACCCTAAACCCTAATTCCTCTCAGGGCGGCCAGGGTTCATCAACTTCCCACGCGAGCCAGACGACACGTTCGTACTGGAGACCGGGATGACTGGCAAGCAGATTCGGGATTCGCGTCTCGAGCCGCATCACATGACCGTCACCGCCAAGTGTGTGGCCTCAGGCGCTTTCTTAGAGTTTAGGGTTTAGGGTTCAGGGTTTAGGGTCTAGGGTTTAGGGGCTTCAGGGCTATTCTGGCGCGCTTTGTGGAGTTTAGGGGGATAAGCCCTAGACACCCCAGTCCCTAGACCCTTTCCACCCCAATCCGAAAACCCTATACACCCCAATCCCTAGACCCTCAACCTCTGCAAAGGCCAGGATACACCCCAAATCCCTAAACCCTAAACCCTAAACCCTAAACCCTAAACCCTAAACCCTAAACCCTAAACCCTAAACCCCAAACCCTAAACCCCAAACCCTAAACCCTAAACCCTAGACCCTAAACCCCCCCAAACCAGGCACGGAGCATCGCATCCGCTTTGCTGCGTACCGCAACGGCAAGCTGATGGCACAGTCGGACGACATCGGTGAGTGCATCCCAGGGTGCTCCTTTGCGTCGAGACGCAGCAAACTCTGCTTGTGCGGCTTAGGGGTTTAGGGTTTAGGGTTTAGGGTTTAGGGTTTAGGGTTTAGGGCCATGAAGCCCTGTGCAGGAACTTTAGCCGACCTATAACGAGGTAGGAGTTACGGGTTCTGAAAGCAAATTCAAGCGGCAGGCAAGGCTCGGTCCTAAAGCCGAAGCCCTAAACCCTAAACCCGAAACCTTAAACCCTAAACCCCAAACCCCAAACCCTAAACCCTAAACCCTGCACCCACAAGGCTACGCGCAAGACTTGACACCCTGGGAGTTGGCAGCGGAGTATGATCCAGCACCTTCGGCTTCTTGCCGCTCTCTGAGGGTTTAGGGTTTAGGGTTTAGGGTTTAGGGTTTAGGGTTTAGGGCAGAGATATAAATCACTATCAGTAGGAGGACGGCACCCAACGCTCAAGTTGCCAACTCTATGGTGCCATCAATTCTGATGTGGGGCCACAGTTGATAGGCCTAGTTGGGGGGGGGGGGGTGGCGACAGCCCAAAAAAGAAACCTAGACCCTAAACCGATGGACGAGGGAAAATGTCGGGGAGGCGTGGGACGAATAGAGAAGAAAGCAGAGAAGACGGAAGGCGGGATGGAGAAGCAGAGAGCGAGGATAGAACGCAGCGAATATCGCCAAAGGACTAAGCCTAAGCACGGGCAATGCAGACACATCGACGCGGGAGGGAGGGAGAGGGGGGGAGAGGCGTAAGAAGAAGCAACAAAGTCCCCGATGCACGAGCCAGCTGGATCATGGATGGGTCCATATCAGCATGACTGTAGGCTAGCTTTCTTCTACCTCGGTTTGTCCCTCACGTATAACATGAAGTCAAAGAATCAAAGATATAAATGTGCACATATGTATATGGTAAGTATAGATACTATAGACATAACTGTAGGTACGTCGGGGCGTGGGCGTGCGGTGGGAGCTTCCTCGTAGTGTCAATTTTCTGGTACACCCGCCCGTCATCTGCCCTGCGCTCACTCGCGCCATGCTGAGGATGACCCACCTTCATCCGAGCAGATGGTTCCGTCGAACTTCTTCCGCGGTGTCCTTGATGATTTCAGGGTGTATGGCTCGGAGCTCACTGCTTCGGAGGTCGAAGCTGTGGCGTCGGGTGCCGCCGTGCGGGAAGAGGACCTTCTGCTGCACTACACCTTCGACACCGACGATGAGGAGAGCTGCAAGTACCGGCGACTGATGAACAGCTCCGCCCGGTGCTTCGGCTTAAACGATCAGTCCGGCCGTGTGAACTTCGAAGCTCTCGGCCAACTCCCGAACATGAACTCGCTGATGGGCCGCGCCAACGCAGCAACACACCTCCCCTCTCCTTTTCCCATCAAGGCGTCCCTGCTGCACCACAGCATGCGGGAGCACGAGTGCGCAGAGATCTCTTTGGAAGCCACGGACGTCGACGGCGATGCGCTGGTGTTCCAGCTAGGCTACCTCTCAGAGGGTGACTCCGTGGAGGTGTCCCTGTATGGGGGAGTCCTGCAGTTCTGCGACGTCTTGGGCGGCCGGCGCGACGTGGACGTCTTCTACGACGCCTGCGACCCACTCGGCTTGTGTGCCTCACAGGGGGAAGGGCTTGGACACCTCCGTGTTCACGTCTTCCCCTCGGGGCCGCATGTCAGTAGCTTCCAGTACTTGCCGGAGACCCAGCAGCTGCGGATGGTCTTCAACAACCCCACGAACATGCCGGATGTCAGTGACAAGGAGCTATTGTTATTATTGTATAATAAAAAATACCAATTATTATTCGTGTCATTATTTTGATTATTACTTTTATTACAACTATTATTTTTATTATTGTTCTTCTTCTAATTTTCATATCAGTGACAAGGAGGCCCTCGACCGGCTGCTGTCCCTGGAGGTGCCGGTCGCGGTGATCCAGGGGACCTGGGAGGAGGGGGGCCAAGCCGCCCAAGGGTTTAGGGTTTAGGGTTTAGGGTTTAGTGTTTAGGGTTTAGGGTTTAGGGTTTAGGGAACCTGCGAGGAGGGGGGCCAAGCCCTGCGTCTCCTTCTGGGAGCAGCGCTGGACACCCGGGACACCTCGAACGTCTCGATTTCCCTGAAGCCATATCCCCCTTGGGAATTGTTTCTTTTTTTCGTTTATATAAAACCCAAGAGGATACCAAAAGGGACTCTTTTTTAAAGGTTCTACAGGGAATATAGGAAGCTCGCTGGGGACCTCCGCGACGCGGCCCAGACGACCTTTCCCAGCTACAACGCGACTCCTCCTCTACTCGCGGCTCTGAGGCTCTCGGAAACGTTTTCCAGCTGAGTGGGGGGGTTGACGTGTCTGCCAAGCTCTAAACCCTAAACCCTAAACCCCTAAACCCTAAACCCAAAGCCCTAAACCCTAAACTCCAAGCCCTAAACCCTAAACCCTATCAGCCCATGAAGCGACTGAAGGCCCCAGAGTCTGCTCCCAGCCAAGGAGAAGCAATGTCCACTGGGCAGTTACCTTCCCCCGGGCGGGGAGTCCTGCGAAGGATGCGGCTTGGGGCGTTCCCTGATCCTCGAAGGCGGAACTGGCGAGAGCGGGGTTTAGGGTTTAGGGTTTGGGGTTTAGGGTTTAGGGTTTAGGGTTTAGGGTGTAGGGTTTAGGGTGTAGGGTTCAGGGTGTGTGTGCGGGTGGAGGTTTGCGGGTTTTGCTGTGCTGTTGGGCTCCGGGCTTAGGGTTCGTAAGGCCCAAGGGTTATGGGATTCGTGGTTCGAGGTTTCATCCCCTCAACCCTCAACCCTCAACCCTCAACCCTCAACCCTCAACCCTCAACCCTCAACCCTAAACCCTAAACCCTAAACCCTAAACCCACTTCTTGTTTTGTTTGGAGCGGGTGGGATGGAGTTGAAGGTTCCGGTTTTGGGGCCTTCCAAGGTGCGGGGTGGCCCGGATGCCAAACCCCTGCACCCCTAGCCCTAAACCCTAAACCCTAAACCCTATTCCCTAAACCCTAAACCCTAGACCCCAAACCCTAAACCCTAAGCCCTAAACCCTAAACCCTAAGCCCTAAACCCTCAACCCTCAACCCTAAACCCTAAACCCTAAACCCCTAGCCCTTTCAGGCGACAGCGCGGGCGTGTGCAGGTCGTGTAGCCCCGGCAGCTTCTCCAACGAGACCTCGGCCACCGCATGCGCGGTCTGCCCAAGAGGCACCTGGCAGAGCGAGCATGGGCAGTCCCCTGGCTTGCGTGTTTGGGGTTTAGGGGTTTGGGGGTTTAGGGTTTGGGGCTTAGGGTTTGGGGTTTAGGGTTTAGGGTTTAGGGTTCAGGGTTTCCCCCGCCCTAAGCCCTAAACTTCGGCTCACTGAGGTCCTCCTGCAAGTCCTGCGAGGAAGGAGCCGCAGGCATGGGCAGCGCATGGGAGACAGCGCTTTTGGAGCAAGAAAAGACTAGCATGAGTTGGGGTTTAGGGTTCAGGGCTCCTAAACCCTAAACCCTAAACCCTAAACCCTAAACCCTAAACCCTAAACCCTAAACCCTAAACCCTAAACCCTTGTGCTCTGCTTGGGGGCTCGTCACTCCCTGCAGGCAGCACCACCCGGGAACTCGCCAGCACTTCCATGGACGACTGCATCTGCCCTGAGGACAAACCTTCAAGCCCCCTGCCAACCCTAAACCCTAAACCCTAAACCCTAAACCCTAAACCCTAAACCCTAAACCCTAAACCCTAAACCCTAAACCATAAAGCCCAAATTTCCTTGGGAAAGACTAGGACACCTTTGCCCTGTTGTTGGGAGACCGACTCGTCTGCCAGCCTTGCAGCCAGGGGCTGCGGTGCGGTCCTCACAAGAAGGGTTTCCAAGTTAGGGTCTAGGTTTAGGGTTTAGGGTTAGTTGGGTTTAGTGTTTAGGGTTTAGGGTTTAGGGTTCAGGGTTAGTTGGGTTTCGGGTTTAGTGTAACCCCAAACCCTAAATTTCTTTTGGGCTTCGTGGAGTGCTTTTGTGCCCAGGTTCGGTTCCAGAGGTTCGGGCATTCGGGGTTTCATAGGTCTCTCAGACTAGCAGGGCTCTAAGGGTTTAGGGTGTAGGGTTTGGGGTTTAAGGTTTAGTTTAGGGTAGTTGCATGGTCCCTTTAAATGGCCCCGTACCTTCTTTAAAGGGTTCTGAAGTGCGGGACCGGGGTGTCACAGGGTATGTAAGAGGTATATCAGGGTTCCCACTTAAGGGCCCATGTTCAGGGACCATGTAACTACGGTTTAGGGTTTGGGTTTAGGGTTTAGGGTCCAGGGCTACCGCTAAGACTTATAGCATGTTTTGAAGACAAAACGGCCTCTCACAGGCACGTATGAGAATAATGGGCGCTCCAAGAGGGCCCTGCGTTTTTCGGGAGCGTGCCGCGCATTGTGGAGCTTTTGCCCTGCTTTAGGCCTTGTAAGGCCGCAAGAGTTTCGTGCCTGGCGCGGAACATCAGGATAGCCAGATGATAACGGTGATCCCGGCCCACATATGAAACACACAAGTATTGGTGAGGGTTCCTTATGACCAGAATGGTGAGGGTCCATATTGGGTGTCCTTCTGGGATACTACATGGCAATGATGACCCCAACATCTATACCTGGTCACTCTTCTAAAGTATGGTCCCTTTTGGAGAGCTTAATATAAGGCGGGTTAACCATATGTATATACACCCTGCAGCTTGTAGCCTCGGCCCCAAATCCCACAGCTGCCGTGCAGTTGTCAGGTGCCCTGGCGGAATGGGCCTCCCCCAACAGGCAGCCGGCTACTATGCGAGGGAGTTTCACCTCTCCAGCAACGGCACGGCGCTGATAGCCACTCCGCGCATGGTTGCCTGCGCCGACCGCAGGCTCCACAGCAGTTGTGGTTCAAAACCTGCAAGCAAATCCTAAACCCTAAACCCTAAACCCCAAACCCCAAACCCTAAACCCTAAACCCTAAACCCTAAACCCTAAACCCCAAACTCAAAACCCCACATACCCGCATTCGCAGCGGAAGCTCGAGGTGCGCCGAAGGCCATAGCCTCGGCAGCTGCGGCGAAGGGCAGGATCTGCTGGCTTGCGACGCCTGCGCCACAGGGTTGGCATTTGGCTCATGTTTCGGGCCTGGGTGCCGTAAGAGGTTCCCCCTAAACCCCTAAACCCTAAACCCTAAACCCTAAACCCTAAACCCTAAACCCTAAACCCTAAAACCCTAAACCCTATATTCTGCCCTGAGCCCTAGAAGTCCGGCATGAGCCGCAAGATGTCCGAGGTGAGGGGCTGGTACTGGAGTGCTTCTCGCGGACACTGCGCCCCATGCGGCGCCGCCTGGCCCATGTTTAGGGTTTAGGTTTAGGGTTTAGGGTTTAGGGTTTAGGGTTTAGGGTTTAGGGTTTAGGGTTTAGGGTTTAGGGCTTGGGGTTTAGGGTTTAGGGGTTTAGGTGTTTTTTTAGGCGTAGAGCCTTTGAAGTTTAGAGGGTACCTGACGCCTAAACCCCGAAATCGGTTCGAAATAATTAAACCCAAAGCCCAAGCCCCCCAAAAATGAGGTAACCCTAAGCCCTAAGCCCTAAACCCTAAACTCTAAACCCTAAACCCTAAACCCTAAACAAAAAGAATTTAGGTGTGTCAGCATCCCCAAAACAAGGCCACATGAACCTCCGACCCCTTGCCCTAAACCCTAAACCCTAAACCCTAAACCCTGAACCCTGAACCCCGAACCCTGAACCCTGCACCCTAAAGACTGAGGTCGGTCAGGGACTGCCACTCCTCCTGGCCTTTTGCTTCGCGGCTTGCGGGATTTGCTTTGCAAGCTGCCGGACACCATGGGTAGTTTGGTTGTGTGCTGGGGTTTAGGGTTTAGGGTTTGGGTTTAGGGTTTAGGGCTTAAGGCTTAGGGCTGAGGATTTGTAGGGGTTTAAAGTCGCCCAAACACATCCCCCACGCCCCAGAATTTCAGGCTTTTTGGGGGCTTTGGGCGGGCCCGGGCCGAGTAGCCCCTAAACCCTAAACCCTAGACCCTAAGCCCTAAACCTTAAATCCTAAACCCTAAACCCTAAACCCTAAACCCTGAACCCTAAGCCCTAAACCCCTGGAGGACGACGAGCATCTTCAGCAGCGATGTTGCGACCATCACGGCCACAGTGGCCATCTTCTTCTCGACCACGCAGGCCCCTAAACCCTCAACCCTAAAAAACCTAAACCCTAAACCCTAAACCCTAAACCCTAAACCCTAAACCCTAAACTCGACCACGCAGGCGCTTGGGACGATTGCCGACCTGCTCGTCGCGCACGAGGGTGTCCTTCACTACCTGCTGCGGGCGCTCCGCTTCTTGAGTTTCAGTCCCGAGCTTCTGGGCACTGAGTGTCTCGGTAGGACCTGGGGTTAGGGTTTAGGGTTTAGGGCTTAGGGTTTAGGGTTTAGGGTTTAGGGATGTGTGTTTGATGTGTTTTTTTATTTTTTCCCCTTGCTCTTATTGGGTTTAAGCGGATCTTATGAGGAGTGTTTTGGGATGTTCCCCCCCTTATTCGAACAGTTTTCAGGGCTGATAAGTACTCCCCCCGGGTAAGAATCCCGATGAAGGACTGTCAGTAGAAGGGGAAACATCCCGAGGGATGCTTTCAGAGTGACTTGCGGGCCAGCCGAGGGTTTAGGGTTTAGGGTTTAGGGTTTAGGGTTTAGGGTTTAGGGTTTAGGGTTTAGGGTTTAGGGTTTAGGGTTTAGGGCCAGCCGAGGTGTGTACTGCAGCAAAACGATGCGGTGCTTTCGTACTTGGCCTGCCTGATGGCGCTTCCACTTGCCGTTCTGGCTGTGGCCGCAGTTGGGCGCATCCGCCTAGCCTTGGGAAAGACGACTTGGGCGAGTATGTTCAGTAATCAGGGCGCGGTAGTGATGATTCTCTATCTTGCCTCGGCACGTGTCGCGGTGCTTCCGCTTCAGTGTGCCGCCAATCCGGATGGATCCTCATCAGTTCAGGCATATCGGTCGGTCATATGCCTGGAGGTGCCAGAGCACATTGTCATGGTGATCCTGGCGATAGTTGGGTTGGTCTTGTTTAGCATCACTCCCCTGGCCGCCGTGTCATGGGCAGTGTGGGTATACCCAAATCGCATCCAAAGCCCTGGCTCAATTGTGTTCCTGGAGAGGTGGCGATTTGCCTTTGATCGCTTCTCTAATGAATCCTACGCATATGCGGTGGTCTACCTCTGGCGCAACCTCCTCATTGCACTCACGCCAGCGGTGTTCACCAACAACCAAGCGATCCAGGTCCTCCTACTGGCTGTGATCTTGGTTGCTGGTCTAGCGATCCAGGTGCGGCTCATGCCCTGGCGGACCAGCCTAGCCAACCTCATCGACGTGCTGGCGTCGGTCTCTGTTTCCATCTTGGTGGTCGGCAGTTCATTGCTCATGGTCATGACGGCACAGGACGTGGGCTTACTTCAGACCTGGATTTCCCTCCACCTCTTGGCCACCTTTGGCATCTTCGTGTGTGTGGTCGTGAACCATTCCCTCAAATGGTTCGTCAGCAAGAAGTACCAAGTCTTCATCAGCCATCACAAAGGAAGTGCAGCAGCTCTCGCGCGCTGGTTCAAGACGTGTATGCTAGCTCAGCAGAGGTTGAAGTTGAAGATATTCCTGGACTCAGATGACCTTCTAAGTGTGGACGCGCTCTTTGACATTGTCGCGCACCAGACGCAGAACGTGATTTTGATTCTCACGAAAGAGTATTTCACCAGGCCCTGGTGCATGGGCGAATTTGTGAGTGCGATCCAGTCGCGGGTTCCCATCGTTGCAGTGAAGTGCAAGGATTGTGAAACCCTGAACACGGACCTGATTCTTTACCATGCTGGGGTAACATTTTACATTTTTAAGGGTACTTAAAGTCAATAAGGAATAGAACCTTTAGATTTTCGATGCCATCCCAACCAGAAGCAAGGATTGTGGAACATGTGCGGAGCATCTGGAAGGAGTCGCACAAGGCTTTGCTGTCGAGTCTGGGCGTCACCGAAGGCCTTGTTGCAAAGGCCATTGCGCACCTGCAGCACAACATCATCCCAGTTGTGGAGCTGGATCGATCAGCCAGCGAATCGGACCAAGTCAACGTGGTGTCAGCCACCATGGAGGCCTGCCGCCTGGGCACCTTTGCCTTTTCCAAGGTCTCGGTGATGAAGCTATATCCCCCTTGGGAATTGTCTTGTCTTTTGGTTTATATAAAACCCAAGAGGATATTACAAATACTATTTTTTTATTAAGGTTCTCAGGGGAGTATAGGAAGAGCATCTCAATCTCCAACAGCCAGCCCCAGATCCTCCTAGTCTCGTCGTGGCAGCACGAAGCAGGTCTTGATTTGGAAAGTTTTTCTTCGCGTGCCCCTGGGCTTCCGAAGCCCTAAGCCCCAAGTCCTAAACCCCAAACCCGTCGTAACCTTAGGGTCTAGGGTTTAGGGTTTAGGGTTTAGGGTTTAGGGTTTAGGACGCCAGGAAGCGCAGACTTGTTGCTTCTTGGTGCGACGGAAGCTCGTCCTCCTCACGAGAACGGTGGTGGACATTCTGGACGAGGGGCGGGTGGACATCCTGGGAAACTGGCACTTTGGGATGTTTTTTTTTTATTTTTTCTTTTGCCCCCCCCCCCCCCCCCGTGTTGGGTTTAGGGTTTAGGGTTTAGGGTTTAGGGTTTAGGGTTTAGGATGTCGGAATAGCCCAGGAAATAGGAGCGCGCTTCCAGAGCTGGGGGTGCTGGTCGTGCTGCTAATGCAGGGGACCTTAGCGGATCCCTTTGTGGCCAACGCGCTGTTCCTGACAAGGAAGGCGCACATGGGAGCCAACAGAGTAGGCCTCAAGAAGCCCACAGCAGGCGACTGGTAGTGGTCCCTAAACCCTAAACCCCAAACCCCAAACCCCAAACCCCAAACCCTAAACCCGAAACTCTAAACACTAAACCCTAAACCCTAAACCCTAAACCCTAAACCCTAAACCCTAAACCCTACCGTTCCTTACGAAGGCTCGCGAGGATGTCAACTTGGTTCCGCTGATTGCCGACCCGAACTTTTCTTTCCCAGATCCGGCGTACTGGGCGCAGCTTGCCTCAGGGAGGCGGGGGGCCACCTGTAGGTTTAGGGTTTAGGGTTTAGGGTTTAGGGTTTAGGGTTTAGGGTTTAGGGTTTAGGGTTTAGGGTTTAGGGTTAGGGTTTAGGGTTTAGGGTTTAGGGTTTAGGGTTTAGGGTTAGGGTCTTGAGGGTCTTGGGGGTTTGCAGTGCTTGATAGGGTTTGATAGGGCCCAGGCCGGAGAACAACCCCCACCCCCCCCCCCTCCCGCGTGCGCGCACGCGCGCGCCAAGAAGGGCCGCGAAAAGGCCTAAATTTTAAACCCTAAACCCTGAACAACCCTAAACCCTAAACGCCAAACCCTAAACCCTTAACCCTAAACCCGAAACCCTAAACAACCCTAAACCCTAAACCCTAAACCCTAAACCCCAAACCCTGAACCCTGGACAGGCTCATGTCGGGCTCCCACTTGCTGTCGCCGCAGACGCTGGAGGATGTCCAGGACCTTGCAGGGAAGCAATGAAGGAGGGTTTAGGGCTTAGGGTTTAGGGTTTAGGGTTTGGGGTTTGGGGTTAAGGGTTTAGGGTTTAGGGCTTAGGGTTGGGATGTTCCCCCTTGTACTCACAGTCCTGAGTAAGGAGTATAGTACACCCTTTTATAATCCCAATCAAGGCCTGCTAGTATAAGTGGGGAGGGACATCCCAAGTGCTGGTCTTTGGAGTTTAGGTTTGGGTTTGTTGAGGCTATAGAGTTTGACCATAAACCTAAGCCTTTCGATTTGAAAGAGCCACAAGCCCTAGCTCAAAACCTCAAACCGTAAACCCTAAACCCCAAGCTCCCCAAGCCCGAAACCCTAAACCCTAAACCCTAAACCCTAAACCCTAAACCCTAAACCCTAAACCCTAAACCCCCACCACAAGACAGTCACAAATCCTGGAGGACTCCTACCAGCAGCTCCTGACCGTTATCGCCCTCCGGCTCTCTATTCAGGCAAGGGTTGAGGGTTGAGGGTTGAGGGTTGAGGGTTTAGGGTTTAGGGTTTAGGGTTTAGGGTTTAGGGTTTAGGGTTTAGGGTTTAGGGTTAGGGTTTGGGGTTTGGGGTTTAAGGTTTAGGGTTAGGGTTTGGGGTTTGGAGGTTTGCGGGTGGATCCTGAGACCTTGAACCCGTCAAGCCCACAAGCCCTCAAAACTCCCCAACCCTGCTGCTGTTTTTTCGGGTTTAGGGTTTAGGGTTTAGGGTTTAGGGTTTAGGGTTTAGGGTTTAGGGTTTAGGGTTTAGGGTTTAGGGTTTAGGAGGGGGGGGGGGGGGGGGGCAACCCCAAACCCCAAACCCAGACCCAAACCCCGCATGAACCCCGAAAACCCTATGGGGTTCTTAAGGGAGGGGGTTCCAGGGGGATAGGTACCTAGGGAACCTCAGGGAAGCTTCGGGACCCTTAGGGAGTAGTGGGGAGTAGTAGGGAATCTGCGGTTACTAAGCCCTCAGGCCTGAGCCCTAAACCCTAAACCCTAAACCCTAAACCCTAAACCCTAAACCCTAAACCCTAAACCCTAAACCCTAAACCCTAAACCCTAAACCCTAAACCCTCAACCCCAAACCCTATACCCTAAACCCTAAACCCTAAACCCTACAACGGGAGGCCTCCGAGAAGCTGCAAGCCACGGAGCTAGCGGAAGCCGGCCTCAAGCTGCAGCTGCTTCTGAAAGACCGAAGCTCGGCGGTTGGGTTTAGGGTTTAGGGTTTAGGGTTTAGGGTTCAGGGTTTAGGGTTTAGGGTTTAGGGTTTAGGATTTAGGGTTCAGGGTTTAGGGTTTAGGGTTTAGGGTTAGGGGTGGTTTTAATGGGCCCGGTACTTCTGCAAGGTGAAGTGTAAGGCCGAGTGCCCAGCTGCAGCCAAGGAAAAGTCGTGCTGAAGGACGAGGTCACGTGCGTTTCGGAGCCCCTAACCCGGATTCCCCTCTGAGTTCGGAGGACTTTCCCTGAAGGGCCCCCCCAAGCCCTGGACCCGAAACCCGAAATCCGAAGCCCCAAGCCCTAAACCCAAAACCCTAAACCCTAACCCGAAGCCCGAAACCCTAAACCCTCAACCCGAAACCCGATATCCTCCCCCTCAAATGAGGGTGGTTTGGTTGTTTTCCCGCACGCTGGGCCCGGGTCGTGGAACACGACGCGCGCCCCAATCTTCCTGTCATAAAGGAACCGACCATATGGGCCCTTATAATAAGGGCCCCAAGAAGGCACCCCTAGACTAGCGGACTAACGCCCTTTGGGTGTTTGTGTTCGGTGCAAGCTAGGGAGTAATGTTCAGAATTTATTGGTTAGGTTCCTTTATCACTCTGCATCAGTGGAAGGGATGGTGCGATGCGCCTTCTGCTTGCTTTCTAAGGGTAGTTTCATGGGCCCTTAATCTAGGGTATGAAAAGGGGTAGAAAAGGGGGGGAGTCCCCTTTTAAGGGCCCATACTGAGGGGCCATGAAGCTACCCCAAGATGCTTCACAACGCACGACCGCTTATGATTTAGGATGTCTCGGCCACTTCGGGTAGCGGAGTGTTAGCCCTCCTTTTCTGCGAAAAAGGGGGTCTCCAAACTCGGGGCCTTTTTTTTGTGGGTACCCTCTCTCTTTCTTTACTTCTTCATTTCTGTCTTTCTTTCTTTCTTTCTTTCTTTCTTTCTTTCTTTCTTTCTTTCTATATATATATATATATACACTAATGTAGGGAACCTCCCAGAAGGCGTGAGCGCTGCCTTCCATCTATGTATTTGCCCTGGCTGCCTAAGCCTCTACACCAGCCCAGAGTGCGAGCAGCCTACCCCTTGAACCCTCAACCCTAAACCCTCACCCGAAAACCCTTCGCGCCTAAACCCGAAGAACTCACGAGATGCACCTTAGACCCCTAAGGTTGTACCTTTGGGCTTTGGGGTCCCTATAAGGGGATGTTAGGGCCATACTTGGAGTATATAAAGGGAAACCTCGTAGGGCTACTTCCTTGAGGGTCCAAGTATGCCACCCTAAACCCTAAACCCTAAACCCTCAACCCTAAACCCTAAACCCTCAACCCCAAACCCTAAACCTGTTTTCGTGCAGCGCTCGAGGCTCTCAAGTTCGTGTCGATCGCCCTGCCCCTCCAAACTAGGAAGCCATGGCCCGGCAGCTGGAACAGTCCCAGGCCCGGGCTTTGGGGGTGTTTAGGGTTTAGGAGAGTTTGGGGTTTAGGGTTTAGGGTTTGGGGTTTGGGGTTTAGGGCGAAGGCTCTAGGGCTTAGGGGCTTGAGGTTTCGGGTTCAGGGTTTTTGTTTAGTGTTCAGTGTGTCTAGGGTGTCTACTGTAGGGTTTGGGGGTTTTGGGGTTCACGGAGTCCATAGGGTTTAGGATTTAGGGTTTACGGCAATGGATTTAGGGTTCTTAGGGTTTAGGGCAGATATCCTTGGCCGACGCGGGGTTCGCCGCCCCCACCCTAAACCCTAAACCCTAGAGAGCCCTAAACCCTACACCCTACACCCTGAACCCTAAACCCTAGAGAACCCTAAACCCTGAACCCCCCAGTGGAGATCTGAACGCCTTCTCGTTGGCAGTGAGTGTTTTAGGGTGCAGAGGGGTTAGGGGTTTAGGTTTTTTGTGTTTTTTCAGAATTTAAGGGTTGGGTCGGTGGGTTCAGGGTTTTTAGGGTGTAAGGGCTTAAGGGTTTAAGGGTTTCGGCTTGAGGATTTGGGGTTCTCCCCTTGTAAGGGGCCTAAGGGGTTAGGGGAATAAGAATTAGGGTCCCTTCTAGGGGGCCCTCCTTATACCCCTTAAGTTCTGGGACAGGAGATCTATGACATGGAGTCAATGTCTGAGACGCACACCATGCTGCGAGGAGAGCAGAAGCAGCAGAGAGCTCAGCTGGAATACACCGGTGATGCTACAGCCCCAAGAACCCAAGACCCTAAAAGCCTGAAACCCTGAACCCCCACCCTAAACCCTAAACCCTAAACCCTAAACCCTAAACCCTAAACCCTAAACCCTAAACCCTAAACCCTAAACCCTAAACCCTAAACCCCTAAACCATAAACCCTAAACCCTAAACCCTAAACCCTAAACCCTAAACCCTAAACCCTAAACCCTAAACCCTAAACCCTAAACCCTAAACCCTAAACCCTAAACCCTAAACCCTAGACCCTAGACCCTAGACCCTAAACCTTAAACCCTAACCCTAAACCCCAAACCCTAAGCATCCTCATACCTGGGCCCTAAGCCCTAAAAGTGAGAAGCTTCCGTTGACCAGTCCGCAAAGCTAAGGCAGAGTCGGTGGTCCAGGTCTGCGACGGCCGTGTTCGCGGGTTGAGGGTGGTTGAAGGGGTTAAGGGGTTCAAGGGATTCTTTTTTGGGGGGGTTTAGGGTTTAGGGTTTAGGGTTTAGGGTTTAGGGTTTAGGGTTTAGGGTTTAGGGTTTAGGGTTTAGGGTTCGGGTTTGAGTTTACGGGGCGTTTGGGCTTGAGAGGTTCAGGCCCTTGAGCTCGGGGCCCCCCGTCCCCCCCCAGACAAGAAAGCCTCCTGAAGTTTAAGTGCAAAGCACGCAAGAACACACAAACACAGCTCAAGGAAAACCCTAAAGCCCCCCTCAAACCCCCACCCTACACCCTACACCCTACACCCTAAACCCTAAACCCTAAACCCTAAACCCTAAACCCTAAACCCTAAACCCTAAACCCTAAACCCTAAACCAACCCTGAACCAACCCTGAACCCTAAACCCTCAATCCCTGAACACCCTCTGCCCCAAACCGCAAACCTTGAGTCCTAAACCCTAAACCCTAAACCCTAAACCCAACCCTAAACCCTAAACCCTAAACCCTAAACCCTAAACCCTAAACCCTAAACCCTAAACCCTAAACCCTAAACCCTAAACCCCAAACCCCAAACCCCAAACCCCAAACCCTAAACCCTAAACCCTAAACCCTAAACCCTAAACCCTAAATCCTCACATGCAGGCCTGTGGTCTTTGCCGTCGGGCTGCTGGCGCTCACCGCGGTGGTCGTCGGGGCGGCCATTTTCTCCTCCAACCAGCGGGCCGGAATGCCATGGTTTAGGGTTTAGGGTTTAG